TCTGTTCCATTTCAGGCACAGTGCATTTCAACAGGTCCAGCTTGCAGCAGGACAATGGATCCCAGTGGAGAATGAGTAGTCCCTCCTCACCCAGGAATGTGAAGTAACTCGCCAGCCCTGTCAGCATGCCCCATTGCAAATTCCAGTAGATCATTCCTTTCCCAGGCATGACGGGGCTTGGTGTTCTCAGCAGCATGGCATGCTGACCCATGGTTGAGAGTTGGAGCAAGGGCTGTTTCCTGTCACGTCCACACCTGTTTGGTGTTGGGGGCCTTGTCAGGGGTCCCCAGTCTGGGATATAGGGCAACTGGTCCTACTCACTGATTATTCAAACGTATTAAAGCCTAGACAGTACTTTAGTCTACCTGCCGAAGGTGGTTTTATCTATTAATTTAATCTGCTGTGTTAATATTTTTTCTCTCCTCCAACCCTGCTGCTTATGGATCATGGGGGAGATGAAACCTCCATTTGATGTCTTTTTTTTTTTTTGCCCAGTCTTCTATATCATGACCTTCAAAATGTGACTCCCCAATTGCTATCTATTTGATGAGGCTCCCCATACATAGTTCTCAGTTTCTCCAATCCCCTAATGGTGGCAGCCTGCCGTGCGCGGCGGCAAGAGGAAGCTTGGGTTAGGCCAGATGCAGCGTGCATACAAACCAGGGCATACATGGAATCTTCACTTGGAGGGGGCCAATATAATCAGTTTGCCAGTTCTTCACCGGTTGGGAACCGCAGCAAATGGCCTCAGATTCTTTCAGCAGTTGCGTTGGGAGCTGTTTAGAACACCCAGGACAGCCTGTTCCCTCCTTAGTGAAGTCACTGTACTCCAAGGGCAATTTGGCATCATTGACAAAATGCCATCCCACCCGGGCACTGTGATGGCCATTCTTTCTGTGCACCCAATCTGCGTACCTACTGAAGGGTCATTAGCTAAGGCCTGTGCCTGAGGTAGGGCATCAACTTCCCAATTGCCAGGGGGTCAGTGCCTTATTAGCTGTGGCATGGAAAACAGTGAGGCCTGCCTCAGACAAGATCTTGCAGATGGACTCGAATGTCTTCCCACACATCTTTACCCCACAAGGGCTTATTCGTAATCATCCACCCCTTAGCCTCGCATTGTCCAAGCCATAGAGCTAATCCCTTTGGTAGAGCCCAGCTGTCAGTGTAAAGGGTTAACGGTCAGGGCTCCTGCGTGATCACTGGCCAGACCACTCAGCTCCACCCAGCGGCTGCAGTGGGAGAGGCCCTACCTGGGCGGGGGGGGGGGGGGGGGGGGGGGGGGGGCAGCGCTGTGTACCCTGCTAGGAGCGGCTGCTCTATGGGGTATATTGGGTTTCTGCCCCCTTCCAGAACTGGGACCAAAACCCTAGGGGCACTCTCCCCTCTGTCTACCCGTATCTTTGGAGTCACGGACATATTTAACTCAAGTGTTAGCCCTATTTGGGAGATGCCCAGAGCTTTAATCGGCTTTGCTAGTATTTTTGCTTTCTCAAAACCAGCTTGCTGCTCTGATCCCCAGTCCCACGTGTGCCCTTTCTTTACCCGGCAGAATAAGAGATGGAAGCACTATGCCAGGTAGGGAAGAAAAGTCCTCCCCAACCCCCAAATCTCTACAGAGGCTTGCACCTCCTTCACATTTTTAGGGGTTGAATAGGATTGTACCTTATCAATCATAACTTTTGGGACAACGTTAAGTCTTACCCGACCAGATGATACCCAAAACCTTATGGCAGTGCCTGGGCCTTGAATTTTCTGTGGATTCACTGCCCCTCCTTTCCCTGGCAGAGTCTCCAGCAAAGCCTGTAAGATGTCCTATGGCAGAGGCAAATCTCTACTTGTTAACATTATGCCCACTGATGTACATTTTACTGACGTGAGGAAGGAGAACAGGGACAGGTCCCAGTCACCATCCCATGACATATTGTGGGGCAATGCAGGTAGCCTTGGGGGAGTACTTAAAAGGTTTATTATCCTTTTATACTTATATCCTTAAGTACTCATGCCTCCTACATGAAGGCAAATTGATCCTGGTTACCAGAAACCTGTACTTGTCCAGGTCTTTTCTATGAATCTCCTGAGGAAAACAGCAACTCTGCAAGTGACAGACTTAAAAATGGCCATGGTTAAAGATCTGATGGGAGTTTCTTATAAACCTGGTAAAGACAACACCTACAAACCTTGTTTTTAATTTAACTATAAACTTTATCATTTTTAAATTTAATTCATTATAAAACTTTGTTTATAATTTTTTATCAAGAGCAGACCAACAATACAAAAAAATGTTGTCTTTTTAATTGAGAGAAAACCACATTTCAATCTTATACCAGTGTACTTTTTAAACTCATTTATTCCAATCTTCATCAGTCCTGACCACCCATAAAATTCCTTTCCAAAGATTCCGCTTCACAAACCTTCCGCAACTTTCTTTTTCATTCAGATTTTGTTCTACGTTTTTCCTCTCTAAAAAACCAATCTCAATTTAGGACAATATTGCTTTTACTTTTCCCCTCAGTAAAAATGTATTTTCATTCCTTATACCTTTCTCATACATCTCCTCCTTTCCCTACCTACAGAGTTGTTTTCCTTATCATTTTCAGCAGTCTGTATTTGAAAAAGCCTTTCCCCCACCTTTTCTTTCTTTAGTCCCTGTGGGCAATGTTTTGGTTATCACCTGGGGTGTTACATTTTAAAGACAGGACGAGAGTTACAAATTCAAGGGACAGAGAATGCAAGTTTTCTCCTAAAAGTTTCAAGGGCAATTGCTATTTAAAATTTTTCTTTGTATTAAGGGTCAGAAGACATGCAGCTTATCATCATTTACTATAATCTTTTTTAAAAATTTTCATTACTTTTTAGAGATTCCACCTCTTAGTGTCCTAATCAGGCTTTGTCACAAGTGCCCTGATCTCTATCTGTGGTATCTTGTGCCCTCCTAGCTTTGAAAAACAGCACTTCAAGGTCTCTAACTTTTTATCCTGCTCTTCCATCTTGTCAAATACAAACATCTAGTTTTGCTTCCTCTCGTGCTTAAACTACAATAAAAACTGAAGCCCATAAAGACAAGGAGGTGACAGCAACATAATTTTGGAAGCTGGAAAACACGAGGGTAAGTACGCCATACCCCAACAGTAGGGAAAGCTGAGAAACAACCCAATTTAAACCACAGAAATCCTCAAAATGTTCCAGAACTGCAAGAGGAGCCTCAGGAATTCAGGGTCAAGGGGGGAACAGGAGGAGGTTGTCTGAAAATAAGGGGACAGGTGTCGGCTTGGGGCAGATAGGTTACACATGGAATATAAAAATAGCAGTGGGCTCTGTTCAAAGTAGGTAATACCCCTTTGCTCACTTAATTCTCACAACAACCCATGAGACAGACTCAACTATTGTCATCTCCAGTTTACAGATGAAGGGGCACCAGAAGTCAAATAACACTTTCACACAGATAGTAAGGTGTGGAGCTAGGCTTTGAACTTAGGCAGTGTATCCAAAGGCCACGATCTTAAGTATGCTATTCAGTCTCCATCCCACAGCTGAGAAGAGCAAGGCTCAGGCCGGTCACATGCTTGGGATCCCCATCCCTCACTGCCCTTGAGCAAGAATCATCAGTTCAGATGGAGGAACACAGCAACCCAGGGCCATTTTCAGCAACACAGCAGTGTTATTTTGGTAGATGGTGATTTAGATTAGCTAACAAGACTACAGTCAGCTTTGCCGCGATGGAGAAAACAGGCACCATTAGGGTGACACAATCCAAGACTCTACCATAAGAGTGTGCAGCATGGGCCAGGATAGCTCCCAAAATCTCCAGGGGCCATTCTTACCACACGTTGAATAGAAGCTCTCAGAGTCCCACCTTACACCCATCTTCCCCTCCCGTACTCAATAGTGTTCAGCCCTTACTGGGGTCCTCCAGTATCACAAGGTCACCACCCCACTCAGTAAGCAGCCCAGCCTACTGTAGGGAAAGTAATAATTACAAAAAGCTTCTTAACCTTGAGCTGGAAATTGTCTACTATTACCCTAATTGGCCCTGGGTTTTCCTTTGGGGGGACCTCCAGAACAACTACAATAGCTTTTCCACAAGGTACTCTTCAGGTATTCAAGATGAACAACCAATATCTCCTCCTCTTCTGCTTCCCAAATTTTTCCTTGTCTGGACTAAATAAATCAAATTCCCTCAACTGTTCGTCATATAACATAGTTTTCAAACTTTTCACCATCCACCGGGACCCTTTTTTGATGAGCTTTAAGGACATGGTGCACAGCTAATCTGTGCATTCCAGCTCAGGCATGATCCGGCCAATGCAGCAGACGGCAAAATTGTTACCTCCTATGAGCTGACATGCCTTAGTGCTTTGGGGGCAGTAATGACGTCTTAGCTTTCTGGGCAGTGATATACCTCTTGGCTCGTAACAAATTCATGACCCTCTTACTATGTCTGTTTGGCAGAAGTATTGTTCAACCGGTTCTCTTCCGTCTTGTACGCATGCAGTCAATTTGCTTAATGTAGAAAGGACTTTACACCCATCTCTTGAAATCCTATCTTACTGGAGCCAGTCCATCTTGCATGCAGAGACTCAGAGACAATGTGTCCTCGTGTACTCCAATTAGAGAAGTTTAGGAAAAAAGCTGACAACCTGTCACCCTAACACTTTAAAATGGCTTCTGTCTGCATGCATGGACAGCGCCGAAAAGGTGTCCACTCACCTGCTGCCAAACAGCGGGGACCAACAGGGACAGAGGTGTCCCTGGAACTGCTGACGCTCTGGGGGCTGTTCCTAGGGCCGCTTTGCCTCTCTTTGCTTTTCACAGCTCTCATTTTTTAATCCAAAAGCAACCAGAATAAACTTCAAGAAGACACTAGGATGCAAAATCTTTTCATAGAATTGACAGAAATGCCTCTGACAGTCTGCAAATATTTCCTTGACAGTTTATGTGTACATCAGGGGGTTGTCTCTAAAACTTTGGCGGTGTAATCTCTTATTTTGAATGAAGACCAAGTCCTCAGAAGTAATCGGGCTTTTACCCGATATAACATCAAACGTGTAGAAAACAGTTTATAATTTATAGTGTGCTTTTACTAGGCAATAAGAGTATTTTGCAATGTTATGGCATACTGTTTTTGTTTCAAAACCAATTTTAAAGTTCTTATAGTTGAAAATTCTGATTAAAATATTAAGTTTTCTAATCCTGGCTCCCAGGTGTGTGTGTGTGTTTTAATATCCCTTTCCAGTGCAAGAAAAAAAGTGTCATGAGTTGTTCTAGCATGAACGAGAAACAGCTGTGGCCATCACTATCCCATCTCTATTGCCTGGGTGATCCTGCTTAGGGCTTGCTTGCTTGCTTCATCAATGGAAGACGTGTTCCTTCAGAATTGGAATTCACTGAGGAATAAGACCTGTCTTATATCTGTGGGACAATTTGAATTTTAGTTGGCAGCTCTCCAGTGGAATCTTTGAGCAAAGGGAAATCAGCTACGGATGATACCGCTTGATGAAACAGGACACCGTACAGCTGTAATTTTAAGCAGAGAAACAGAGCCAAATAAAATTTTTTAAAAGTATCCACTCTATAATCAAAACTGAAGCCTCATTAAATGCCATCTAACAAAAAACTAAAAGAGCTAGTAATGGGCAACAAAATGATCATGTTAAGAATTCTGACAACAGGCAGAATCATTATGGAAAGCAAAGGAAGGGGGCAAAGCAATGGAATCACAAACAGAATGATTAGCCTCACTGAGCTCAGATTTATTAGATAAAGTCCAGTTGGTCATCCTCACGAGGTCAGAACCTTACCATATGGTGACTATTCACAGAATCCAAAAGGATGGGAAACAGGGCCCATTTAAATTACATATTGAATTAATACTGGCAAAATAACCAATAGTCTCCTTGGTATGGAGTTTTTAAATTACGCTTTTAAATACTAATAATATTTGTGATCACTATCACATCATTAACAGCAACAGTATAAGTAATTATCTTTAGCTGCCATGTCGCTGTCCACAATGCACTTTAATACATATATATATTATCTCATTAAAACACGTCCAGTGACTAGTCATAGATTCAGATACAGTACCTCTCCAGCATACTGCAAATAGATATGTGAAGCTCAATCCTTGAACTGGAGCACGATTACCACCAACTTTAGTCCCTTGCCTTTGTGAGGACGCCAAGGATTCCCCTTGCCCCCCTCCCCGCCCCTGACCGCGTTTGCTTGGCGGGCGCCGCGCACACTGCGGCGGACGCTGCACCGCGGCTGTCCCTGCTCTCCGTACTGTTTTCCTCCAAGAGTGTTTGCTTTTGCTCTTGCTGCGGAGGCGGCGGGGATACGCAGGCTGCCTGTGCCTGCGACTTTGTGGCGGCTGCTGCGGCTGGACCCTGCCCGCGGGAGAGCTGCCGCTCTGGTCCTCCCTGGGGCGCTGTCCCCCACCCCCCACCACCGTGTGCTGCTTGCGCCTCGTCCAGAGGCCCGTGTCCCCACCTTCCGGCTCGCGCTTTCCAGAAGGTGTCACAGAAAACGTTACCATTTTTGATAGAAACTTGAATGGGATTACCTCCAGCTTCGGTCTGAATTCCAGAATTTCACTGCGATGTTGTTTTGGTTGGAGACACATGCTTACGTTGGCCAAGTTTGTATGATGTTTTCTGTTTTATGCTATAAGTAAAATTAATATTGATGATGATTCATGAAAAGGGGTCACAGAGCGGAGTGAGCAAGAGTTCAAGCTCCGCAATCATACAGAGCTGGGTTCAAATCTCAGTTCTGCCTAATTCTAATCATTAGACCACAAGAATGTGGTCTGTGAATTTTTATGTTGTATGAAACACCTAACAATAGCCTCATTCTCACAGGATGCTAGGAGAATCATGAAAACAAGGAAATGCATGTAAAGTCCTTTGTACCTGATACATATTAATACTAATTTTCATTACTGTTCTTACTGGAGTATCAATTACCAGATCCTCCACAAAGCTAAGAGTGTGTTCTGCACATGTAAGGGATTTAATAGTAACATTACGTAAGTTTTGGTTTCATAATGAAATGAATAAATGCATATTATTAGTAGATGGTACCTCTAATATCTTATTCAATGAAATTGTAAGATATAAACTTTGCACATCCCTTTATTTAAGAACCAAATATTTTCATTATTAGTTTATAAAGTTCTGGAAGGTTTAAGCCATCAAAGCTAATAGAAAAAATTTCTGGCTTTAGCAAAAATTGCCTCTGACAGACCTTAAAATGAAGCAAATGCAATCTTCTCTCCAGGGAGAAAAATCAAATGCAAGTAAGGGTTTGTAAATATTTAAAGAGGAATAAAATTAAATCTGTCAATATTCATTTATTCAGACATTCGTACATACTATTTAATGAATATGTCTTGAGTATTACAATGCCCTCAGTTTATTCTGTATTAATCCCTTTAAATTTATTGCTGGCTGCGGCAAAGGCTGCATTGGTCTGAGGCCTGGATGAGGCCATGGGATTTGCGGGCCAGAAAGGAGCCCATCCTAGGACTCAGCATCTGCGACCATCAGTGGGGATGTGGCCATTCCTTCCCAGCCTTCTTCACAGAATGCCCTCCTCTTCCCGACCTCTGTGCTGGTATCTCAGCGCTCCATCCCAATTGGACCTCTTTTCTTCTTAATCCATACTCACTTTTTGAATGATTTCATCCAGTCCCATGACTTCAAATACAACCTATATGCTTATGAACCCCAGCTTTCTATCTTCACCATCACCCCTCACCTGAGCTCCAGATTTGAACATTTAATGATCTACTTCATACTGGCATTTGGGCATTTAACAGGCATCTCAAACTCACCCTGTCGAAGTTAAGCTCCCGATTTCCATCCCCTACTTGCTTCTGCTCCAGTGTCCCCACCTCAGTAATCCCCTAGCCAATCACCAGACTGCTCAGGCAAAGCCCCCTTTCTCTCCCCAACATATATTTATTCGTTTAGTGTCATCTTAACCATCCAGAAGAGATTTAATTTTTCTTCTTCATCTCTGAATTCCTGTTACTTAGAATAGTGTCTGATGCATAAAAGACAGTCGATAAGATGTTTGTGAAATGGATAAGTGAATGTCTCTACTTCCTTCCCACCCAGAAAACATAGCACTGGGGGCAGACTGAAGTTCAGGTCCTTGACTTTTTGATAACATTTACTGAGCACTTATGTGCTAGGAATACTACTAGCAGGTTTTTTTTTTTTTTTTAATATTCATTATCTTATTTAATCTTCAAACCCTACAAAGTATGTATTCCTACTGTCATTATTATTACTACTTCCTCTTTTACAGATGAGGGAACAACTCAGCAAGGTTCAGTAACTTGGCCAACACAGCTGGTAAGAGATAGGTAAGTGTTGGGAAAGGCAGTTGCGAGTGGTTTGTTGACCCTTGAGCAACTGCTGAAGAGTGCCTTGGGCTGGAACATTCCCTTGTATGGAGATAAAGAGCCATCACAACCTGTGCTGCTGGACTTAGCTCCTTCTTTGGAACTATCTTTCCTTCTTCTGGGTTTGGCGTATACTCAGGGGCTCTCTCCCTGCTTTTTCAAGATCCTTATCTTATGTATATGTGTACAGGCAGGAGCATAGAGGTAAGCTCTCTCTAAAACAGCTCTAAAAAAAATCTTTCAAGCTGTTCAGCCAAGGCTCCAGATAATTCCAATCTCTCATCGCTCAGATTTTTCCATTCTTAAGTATGATGTGTTTACTGTTACGAAGTGAGTCACAGGACATATGGAGAATTAACTCAGATATCTGGTACCATGTGAGTGGACAAGATTTTTCCCCCTGAACACACAGGGGCACAGAATATTGTGTATGTTTATGCTGTCTCCAGGGATTTGGAAGAATTGGACATAAGGGAAAAAAACTCCTGTTGTTCCTGACAACATTCAAAATTATATCCTGGAGGATCCTTTTAAATAAATAGAATTAACTTCTAGAGAAAAGAAGCTTGACGGTACTGGACTCACTGATGATATTGCTGGGCTTTTTTTAAGTCACACTTACGTCTCAAGATGCTTATAACATTGTCATCTCCAAAGAGATTCATTGCAGCAGTGTGTCTGCCGTGTTGATGCCCAAGAAATATTCTAATTCTGGTGAAGAGGTTCTTTATATCTTTCCCCTTGGAAAGTCATTCACATGGATATTTTGTTTCAGAATATTCCATTTTTCTTCCTGAAATGCGCATCATTATGTAAGACTTAGTATTTCATTTCTGATACCTCTACTTATCCACAACATGGTTAGAGATCAGTCTCTCACTATTCTTGTGAAACTTGGTAAGAGATTGAGAACAGAAGTTTTTCATATTTCATTGCTCAAGTACAAACAGTTGATTATCTAAAGAACATGTTTAATCCTGGTTGGCCTTTTCCTGCCTCCCCAAAGTCTCCAAGACAGAATCAGACAACCATGGAATGTTAGAAACAGAAGAGACATCAGAAACTCCAAACTTAATCCCTCCTTTTAGAGATGACATGACTTGCTTACGTCCACTGCCATGATTTGTTTCCAGGGAATAGAAATGCATCAAACTATTCACATGGGCAAGAAAAAAATTAGGAAAAGAAACCAGCTTCCAAAATGAACTGAAAATATAAACTAAATGGTTTTTGTTGCCCTCCTCTGTAACACCCACCCTCCATTAACAGAAACATGAGAAAGTTCAGAGAAAGCTCAGAGATTGATAACACCTGTATTTGGTGTGCAGTTTTTATTATAAAATTGAAAAGATTGAATTTGATACATTTATTAGGTCTTGGGCCAATTAAAAACTCATCCAGTTGTCTGTTTGCAACAGTGAGCAATGAACACAAGAATGACAATGACAATTCCCAACATGGCGTGTCCAAATGAAACTGCAAAAGGTTCTAGGACTTGATAAAATGGTTAAGATATTACTCATCTGGAGTACCATCCTTATATCAGACAAACTAGATTTTAAACCAAAGACTGTAGTAAGAGAAGAAGAGGAACACTATATCATAATAAAGGGGTCTATCCAACAAGAAGATCTAATAACTGTAAATATTTATGCCCCCCAACTTAGGAGCACCCAAATACATAAGTCAATTAATAACAAACTTAAAGAAACTCATTGATAATAATACAATAATAGCAGGGGACTTTAATACCCCACTCAACAGCAATGAACAGATCATCTAAGCAGAAGATCAACAAGGAAAGAGTAGCTTTGAATGACACACTGGACCAGATGGACTTCACAGATATATTCAGAGCTTTTCATCCATACCTTCTTTTTGAGTGCACATGGAATATTCTCCAGAATAGATCACAAACTGGGTCACAAATCAGGCCTCAACCAGTACAAAAAGACTGAGATCATACCATGCATATTTTCAGACTACAATGCTATGAAACTTAAAGTCAACCACGAGAAAAATTTCGGAAAGAGCCAATGGAGGTTAAAGAACATCCTACTAGGGGCGCCTGGTTGGCTCAGTAGATTTAGTGTCTGCCCTTGGCTCTGGGCATGGTCCCAGGGTTCTGGGATCAAGCCCTGCATCAAGCTCCCTGCTCAGTGGGGAGCCTGCTTCTCCCTCTCCTTCTGCCCCTGCTCATGCTCTCTCTCTTTCTCAAATAAATAAAATCTTAAAAAAAAAATAGAACATCCTACTAAAGAATGAATGGGTTAAACCAGGAAATTAAAGAAGAAATTAAAAAAAAAATACATGGAAGCAAATGAAAACGAAAACACAACAGTCCAAAACCTTTGGGATGCAGCAAAGGCAGTCCTAAGAGGGAAGTATATCACAATACAGGCCTACCTCAAGAAGCAAGACAAGTTTCAATACACAACCTAACCTTACACCTAAAGCAGCTGGAAAAAGAACAGAAAATAAAGCCTAAAACCAGCAGAAGAAGGGAAATAATAAAGATTAGAGCAGAAATCAATGATATAGAAATCAAAACAACAGTAGAACAGATCAATGAAACTAGGAGCTGGTTCTTTGAAAGAATTAACAAAATTGATAAATCCCCTGCCTGACTTATCAAAAAGAAAAGAGAAAGGACCCAAAGAAATAAAATCATGAATGAAAGAGGAGGGATCACAACCAACACCACAGAAATACAAACAATTTTAAGAGAATATTATTAGCAATTATGAGCCAACAATTTGGCCAGTCTGAAAGAAATGGATAAATTCCTAGAAATATATAAACTCTCAAAAATGAAACAGTAATAGAAAACCTGAACAGACTCATAACCAGCAAAGAAACTGAATCAGTAATCAAAAATCTCCCAACAAACAAGAGTCCAGGGCCAGATGGCTTCCCAGGGGAATTCTACCAAACATTTAAAGAATTAATATCTAATCTTCTGAAACTGTTCCAAAAAAATAGAAATGGAAGGAAAACTTCCAAACTTATCCTATGAGACCAGCATTAGCTTGATTCCAAAACCAAAGACCCCACTAAAAAGGAGAATTACAGACCAATATCCCTGATGAACATGGATGCAAAAATTCTCAACAAGATACCAGCTAAAAGAATTCAAGATTACATCAAAAGGATTATTCACCATGATCAAGTGGGATTTATTCCTCGACTGCAGGGCTGGTTCAATATCTCCAAATCAATCAATGTGATACACCACAGTAATAAAAGAAAGGATAAGAACTATATGATCCTCTCAATAGATTGAGAAAAAGCATTCGGCAAGATAAAGCATCCTTTCTTGATAAAAATCCTCAAGAAAGCAGGGATAGAAGGAACAAACGTCAACATCATAAAGGCCATAACAAAAACGCCACAGCAAATATCATTCTCAATGGGGAAGAACTGAGAGCTTTTCCCCTAAGGTCAGGAACACGACAGGGATGTCCACTCTCACCACTGTTGTTCAACATAGGACTGGAAGTCCCAGCCTCAGCAGTCAGACAACAAAAAGAAATAAAATGCATCCAAATCAGCAAGGAAGAATTCAAACTTTCACTCTTCACAGATGACATAATACTATGTAGAAAACCCAAAAGACTCCACCAAAAAATTGCTAGAACTGATACATGAATTCAGCAAAGTCACAGGTTATAAAATCAATGTAGAGCAATCTGTTGCATTTCTATACACCAATAATGAAGCAGCAGAAAGGGAAATCAAGGAATTGCTCCCATTAACAATTACACCAAAACCACATCTAGGAATAAACCTAACCAAAGAGATAAAAGATCTGTACTCTGAAAGCTATGGAACACCAATGAAAGAAATTGAGGAAGACACAAAGAAGTGGAAAAACATTCCATGCTCATGGATTAGAACAAATATTGTTAAAATATCTATACTACCCAAAGCGATCTACACATTCAATACAATCCCTATCAAAATAACACCAGCACTTTTCACAGAGCTGGAACAAATAATCCTAACATTTGCATGGAACCAGAAAAGACCCCAGATAGCCAAAGGAATGTTGAAAAAGAAAACCAAAGCTGGAGGCATCACAATTCCGGACTTCCAGCTCTATTACAAAGCTGTCATCATCAAGACAGCATGGTACTGGCACAAAAACAGACGCATAGATCAATGGAACAGAATAGAGAGCCCAGAAATGGAACCACAATTATATGGTCAACTAATCTTTGATAAAGCAGGAAAGAATATTCATTGGAAAAAAAAACAAATCTCTTCAACAAATGGTGTTGGGAAAATTGGATAGCCACATGCAGAAGAATGAAACTGGACCACTTTATTACACCATACACAAATTCAAAATGGATGGAAGATCTAAATGTGAGACAGGAATCCATCAAAATCCTAGAGGAGAACAGGCAGCAACCTCTTTGACGTTGGCCACAGCAACTTCTTCTTACTAGATAGGTCTCTGGAGGCAAGGGAAACAAAAGCAAAAACTACTGGGACTTCAAGATAAAAACTCCTGCACAGTGAAGAAAAACAATCAACAAAACTAAAAGGCAACCTTTAAATGAGAGAAGATATTTGCAAATGACATATCTGATAAAGGGCTAGGAGCCAAAATCTATATAGAACTTATCAAACTCAACACCCCAAAAATACCTATATAATCCAGTTAAGAAATGGGCAGAAGGCATGAACAGACATTTGTCCAAAGAAGACATACAGATGGCAAACAGACACATGAAAAAATGCTCAACATCGCTCGGCATCAGGGAAATACAAATCAAAACCACAATGAGATACCACCTCATACCTGTCAGAATGGCTAAAATTAACAACACAGGAAACAAAAGATGTTGGCGAGGCTGCATAGAAAGGTAAGACACTGTTGGCGGGAATGCAAACTGGTGCAGCCACTCTGGAAAACAGTAAGGAGGTTCCTCAAAAAGTTAAAAATAGAACTACCTTTTGACCCAGCAATTGCACTACTAGGTATTTATCCAAAGGATATAAAAATACTGATTTGAAGGGGCACATGCACCCCAACGTTTATAGCAGGATTATCAATAGCCAAATTATGGAAAGAGCCCAGATGTCCTTCAACTGATGAATAGATAAGAAGATGTGATACATATATCACACACACACACAATGGACTATTACTCAGTCATCAAAAAGAATGAAATCTGGCCATTTGCAATGACATGGATGGAGCTGGAGTATATTATGCTAGGTGAAATAAGTCAGTCAGAGAAAGACAAATGCCATATGATTTCACTCATATGTGGAATTTAAGAAACAATACAGATGAACACAGGGGAGGGGAAGAAAAAGTAAAAAAAGATAAAAACAGAGAGTGAGGCAAACCATAAGAGACTCTTAACTACAGAGAACAAACTGAGAGTTGCTGGAGGGGAGATGGGTGGGGGGATGGGGTAATTGGGTGATGGGAATTAAGGAGGGCATGTGATATAATGAGCACTGGGTGTTATATGCAACTGATGAGTCACTAAATTCTACCCCTGAAACTAATACTACACTATATGTTAGCTAACTTACATTTAAATAAAACCTTGGAAGAATGAATGAATGAATGAATGAATGAAGACATTACCTCATAATAAAAGCAAGTTCCCTTAAAATAGCACTTCAATTTGCAGTAGTCACTCTGGATGGCTAGGTGAGGTTATTTATATTATCTTGGTCAATTATGTAATTGCTACCATTAAATTTTCTGGGCAAATGAACTCATCACTCTTTGCTTCCACCCCTACCAACTTCAAGAATTGTCATGAAGATAAATCAGACAAAATGCATGAAGACAGAAGCTTTAAACTAGGGTTCTTTGGAAGTGCACAAGTGAATTGTGTGTAAGATTGGTGTATGCATGTGCACAGAGCATTTTTCTGGTTAGAAGCTTTTATCAAACTCTTTTAAAGGAATCCATAACTCCAAAGTGGTTAAGAAGCATTTATAGTCAACCAAAAAAAAAAAAAAAAAAGATTTCATTAGAGCTATTTTAGAGACAACCTCTACCTACTTGCCCCCGCCAAAGACACATAAATAAGATAAGGATCTTGAAAAAATAGAGTTCCTGAAATTACAAGCATCCTTGTAATGCCAAGAAAGTCACTACCCTGCATGATAACGAAATTGTCGATGGCAACACCAGCAGACCTCAACCTGAGTCATAGTCAATTTGGCTACTCCGATCAAAGAATACCCTTTCTGTCAACACAAATAAAGCCTAAACAGCCTCAGAAAATAGAGTTTCTTTAGCTATCACTGCCTCATCCCCTCTACCTGCTCCTCATAATCATTTCTTGACATGCACACTGACCCTCTTGATTTCTAATTCACGCTGGTAGTAAACAACAGATTCAATGACCTAGCACTTATTATTTCACAAGGATACATTGAGTGTCTCCCAGTTTCTGGGCACTGTGCTAGCCAGGGATGTGACAGCAAACATTACGAAGCCTGAGCCAACCAGAACCAGAAGGAAGCCAGGATAGTGCTGGGGGGGGGGGGGGAGGGCGGGCGGGGAGGGTACCGCACAAGGAGAAGCACAGCAGGCCACACACACACAAGATGAACTCCTAATTTGGTCTTGATGATCAGTCAAGGAAAAGAATATTAATAAACATCCCTTAAATAGCATTCACTGTATACCAGACACTCTTCCAAGTGCTTTTTATCACTGTTTAATTCACCAGAGGATTCCAATAATGCTAGCAGAAGAACCAGTTTGCAACGCAAGGAGAAAAGGTCTCTGGAACGTTCCAGGCAGAAGTAAGAGCAGGCATAAGGCCCCGGGGTGGGAGTGTGGCAGGGCGGCTCCCGCCAGCTCACCGCGTCTCACTGTTAAGTACGGGAGTTTGCAAGCCAGTCCCTGCTGGTAGCTCAACGCCAGCCACGGCAGGGGTATTATTTTACGGAAGGTGGCAAATACCACAAATCAATCAGAATTGATTTTTGTCATTGTTGTTGTTGGTTTGGTTTGGTTTTTGTTTTTGCGAGGCAGCTCATCAGCACATCACTGCCCCGGGGCGTGGGAAATGATGACTTGACCAAGAGGGTCATTAACCATTCTGATGCGACAGGTGGAATGGCCTTCTCTAAGATTCGATCCTTGCCTCTTGAAGATCAACCAAATGAGGTTTGTTAAAGACGCGAGTATAACCAGAAAATATCTCATACCGTTAGTCCATTTTATGTTGAGCTGAGGACACACCCAACCTGAAATTTTTTGCGTGTTTATCTGGGCATCACTTCCAGAGACAAAGTTACTTGTGTTTTTTTATGCAGTTCAAGGCCGCTTTGTTGACAGATGTTACAGTGGTGTGCCAGTGTAAACTTAAAGGGAGAAAACAGATGGCATGTTAGAATATCATATAAAAATAATTTAATATTTTGGGACACCTGGGTGGCTCAGTCGTTAAGCCTCTGCCTTCAGCTCAGGTCATGAGCCCAGGGTCCTGGGATGGAGCCCTGCATTGGGCTCCCTGCTCAGTGGGGAGCCTGCTTCTCCCTCTGCCTGCCGCTCCCCCTGCTTGTGCTCTCTCTCTCTTTCTCTCTTGCATGCATGCTCACAAATAAATAAAATCTTTTTAAAAATTAAAGAAAATAATTTAACATTTTACTGGCATTTTAACTGAACTGAACTTTAACTGAACTTAACTGGCAATTTAAACTGAACAATTAGATCCCTACATTGTATCTGAAATATACATAACATCCTCCAGCTCAGTAGTTAAGCTAACCTAGCCCTCTCAAATTATGAAACCACTCTTGTTGGCATAGTGCATAGATAAAAGCAATTTTTATATCCAGACTAGATGCAAAGTCTGTGAATAAAGCACAATATCTTTAAAACTCTTAGGAAATCTTTTAGGACTAGGAGGAAGCTGTCCCCCATTTCCCTTCACCTTGAAGTAAAATACACACACACACACACACACACACAGTGTAGATACAATCAGCCCCGAGAGGCAGAAGGACAGCAGTGTTTAATACTATGTTTCTAATGTATATCCATTCCCCTATGCTGAAACCTAGACTATGACAAAGAAGTGCCAGCTTTGAGGTAGGGGAAGCTCTGAACTCTTGGAAATTACATCCGAAATTACATGGCCCATTTTGGAGCATTCAGAATGGCTGTGTCCAGAGCAAGAAGAGGCCTTTACGGAGTAGGGAGATCACTTTCAATTTTCTATGGGTTCTATTACTGTCTGTAGGCAGATCATACACCAGGTTATTTATCTGTTCATATATTGATTCAGATTTTTTTTCTGTGTAAATCTTCCACTTTGTTCAAGTTCCCAGAAATGTATTTACAGATTTTAAAAACAACTCATCCAAAAGACAACTTTTATCTTGGCCACCATCCTTCCCAACCAGAGCTTACTTTTTTATACGATCATTCTGGCCAGTCTTCCTGATGCCATCACAGCCTCTGCCTGAAGCCCAGCAGGAAGGTCCAAAGCAGCAAATGGAAACTCAGACAGGGCAGAATGGTGGATTATCCTTTTCCAGCAAAATGTCACTGGGGGCCACGAGGAGCTACACCAGGCCAGTGCACATGGCCATCTTCCCTCATCCAACTATGCTGCTGGTGACCACCAACGTGTTCTTCACTGCCTGCTTCTTCATTTATGAGGTCACCTCCGCTAAATATACTCGGGATAGCTACTGATTATGTGAAAGAGAAGAGAATAAAATGACATTTGATTCTATTATGTGCTAAACAATTCACCCATCTTCTTTCATTTACTCCTCACCACAAACTGCAAAGGAGGTGGATTTAGGCTCATTTTACAAATGAGGGCAAGTAACTTGCATAGGATTAAACATCTTTCATTTAATTACTCATCCATTCAACAAACATTCATTGAGTGCTTACTATGAGCTAGGTGTTCAATAAACAACAGGTGTTGGTTTCGGTAAACAACAGCAAAAAAAAAAAAAAAAAAGGTCCAACTTCAGGTTGGTTTCAGTTTTCCTTGTCAGTGAAAGTCACAAGAATTGAAACTCAGGCCCAAGTGTTGCAATTTGGAAATGAAGTTCAGAGAAAGCAGTGCCTCTCCCTCTAATGAACATGTGTTAAGTGCCTATAGGAGGCAGGGTCCCATGTTAGAACTGTCAGAACCCTAATACTTGGCCTCATAGACTATCATTATTGCTTGAGAATGAAGAATTACCTTCTAATAGAAGAGAGGAAACCTACCATACAAAATCAATTAAAAAACAAAGCGCAGGGCTGTTCAATTTAGAAATGGGGGTGCTTGAAGCTTTACACATACCTCACCCCCCACCAGATGTTCTGGGCAGAACATCTCAAACTGTAGGACACACTGGGCAAATCAGTATGGCGTTGATTCAAGAGAGTGGGCATTGGATTTCATGGCCCCTGGGCTGCTGGTCTGGGAAGGTGCTAGGGAGCTCTAGTCCTGGGACCCACCCGAGTGTAGACCTGGAGGACATTCATGTACATTATCCCACTGCTCTTCATAACCTTCCCTTGGCAAGGGCTGACATCCTTGGTCTTGCTTATAATTACCCAGTTGTGCTTGGGGTCTTCCTGGATGGCACATCGGGTGGGCAAATTCTAGAAATGCCTACTATAAACAATCTGAGAAAAACAATCTGATCATCTTCTCCTGCAGCTGGGAAGAATGTCACCTGATCATCTCCACTTGTCATCTGACAACCTCTGTCATCTGACCAGCTCTACCCGGTCTCAGAAAGGAATGACCCCTGGCCATCTCCACCTTTCATGAGATCTTCACGGGGAAGCTGAAAGGAATGTCAGCAAGCCCAGGGCAGGGGCGTTTACACCCACCTCTGCAGGTCATACATCGATTGTTTTCCTGATAGTCGCATGCAACGTGTAGAATCCTCGGCTCTTGATGTTTCACATATTTCCAGAGGCATTAATGTTTCCAACCTTCCCATGGGTATGCTCAAATTTAACAGTATCAGAGCAATGGAATGCCATTAAAGCAGTCACCTTTGCTGATGCTATGAAGGGGTCTTTGGGCCAGTGGCCACTGTATTCATCAAACTGGAAACAAGATTAAATCTGAAAACAAGATTGTGGGAAATGGTTAAGACATTCTTCAGAGCAAAACAAATGAAATAAAATATAAAGAACATCCCTAGTATTTATCAAGTGCTTATTTAGTTCATTCTAGCAGTCTGTTTATTCATTCATCCTATAAATATTTAGCAATATCTGCCTGGTACCAGGCCCTATGCTAAACCTTGGGATGACTTTCAAAGAGTTGGTAATATTTCCATGATGTCGTACCTGAAGGAATTCCAGGGCATTTTAGGCTTTCATTTATTGTCATTTCTCCCCAGTTCCCTACCATTCCCTTTCTGAAAAACTGCAAGTCTTCAGGAAAACCATCAGGCCCTGGGCAGCAGCTGAATTGCCCTTGGGACAATCCTCAGTGGCCACAGTCATCACCACTGTCATTTTGAGCCAACCTCCCAACCTAAACTAGAAGAAGCAGATCTAGGGTGGAGGTGGGGCAGGATTTTATCACCTGCAGGCAGAAATCTGTCTGGGTTCTTCCCAGATGAGAAAAGGAGAATTGAGAAAGCCAATTTCAAATTAAGTTGGCAAGAGCCAGAGTGAAAGAGACAATATTCTGGCAGTTTTTCATTGGCTTCTAAAACCTTTGCACTTGAGAGAACAACTAAACCAGAAAGGTTAACACTTGGATTTCACTGGATTGCCTCAAGTGTAAAATAATGTGAGCAATTTTCTCTTCTAATTTGGGGAGGGTCACCAGAGTTAGAAGGGAAGAAAACACCTCCACCTGTCCTCTCCCCACCCCTCCTTCAGCTCTGTCCCACTAGGCTTCTGGGGCTCCCTTCCAGAATGCAGCACAGACTACCTGCAGGGTTGGGGGTGAGTCTCCCATTGTGCGAGCTCTCTGAGGGATCCAGGGGAAGAGGGGCTTGGGAGTCAAGATCACAGGCTTTCTGTGATCTTTCTGCTCTGTTCCTCCCTCCAAATAAAGTCAATGAATCCAGAATTGTGTTTAAAAGAGGAAGTTGCTGGGGTCGCCTGGGTGGGTTTAAGCATCAGACTCTTGATTTGGGCTCAGGTCATGATCTCAGGATCATGAGATGGAGCCCCACTTCGGGCTCCACGCTGAATATGGAGCCTGCTTAACATTCTCTCTCTCTGAGCATGCTCACTCTCTCTCTAAAAAAGAAAAAGAGAGAGAGAGAGAGAGAGGCCCTTTACCTGAGAAGATTCTGATAATGGTGGAAGAATTGCTGGTATTCTCCTTGACTAGAAAAATAGAAACATTATTCTTGCTCCCAGAACATGAACAGCTGAGAAAGCTGTGGATTTCTGCAAAGCCACAGCAGGAAGAAAGTGGAGAAGAAATATTTAAAAGGGGAAAACTTACTAATAAGAAGCGGGCCTCTCTGTTCTGGTTTCTTTAACTTCCTAGCTCTTCTGATTCATTGACATTATGAGCCATACAGACTCAGCGCCCGAGTCAGAAATTCATTTTGGAGACATTTCAGAATATCTGAATGGTCCAGAAGAAGGGGAAAAGTTCAAAACAGAAATGTGAGGTCTCTGGCTATAAGCAACATTCAGAAAACGGCCTCTTCAGGAGAGAAGCCAATCCCTGTTATACATTCAAGAGCTTGAACTGGATCCCATGAAGTTTCCGTGTTTTGTTTTCAACATTTGAATGAAGAACCTTTAAGAGCAGCCTTCGCTTCTGCTCCCAGACTTCCACAGGACCCATTTTTATTTCAAGCCTTAAAAAAAAATTCAAAATGTATAAACAAATGATGGACAATCCATGGGGGGGGAGGGACACTTCATTACAGTAGTTAATGCGAAGGTGAATAAGTCCTGTTTCTAAGGAACTGAGCCCTACATAGACCAGGAATTATACTATATAATTATATAATATCTTTGTGGAATTATACTTTACATAAGTCTCCATTTTGTTCTAATTTTATCAGTTCGGACAAACTGGATTGTGCTGCTAACTCAGGGACAATAAAATATTCCCATCACATACAGATTTCCTGTAAACTGTTTTGCAGTAGGAAAGTTAATAAAGGCCTGGAGGCTTAAAAATTCAATTCTGTTGAGGCATTTTCCACATTTATTAACTATTTTTACCAGAGGTCTGTATGTGGGTTCTCTTAAGACATGTTGGTGGGAGAAGTGGTGAAGCTGTTAAAGCAAACAAGAAAAACAAGTTACCATTTCATTGTTTAGGCAGGTGCCAATGAGACTGGGGGAGGGGGGTGCTGTCAGGACCCGGGGTGAAGAAATGGGATAGGCGATGACCATTCACTGAGAAGTTTTTGGTTAAAGGAAAGTTATCAGTATTTCATATGTGAAATCTAAAAAAAGACAAATGAATAAACAAACAAAAAAGCATAAACAGATCCATTAAGTACACAGAACAAACTGATGGTTGCCAGAAAGGAGGAGGGTGGGGGGATGGGCACAGCGGGCGAAGGGGCATAACGTGGGAGGCTCAAGCTTCCAGTTATGGAATGAAGAAGTCACAGGGATGAAAGGCACCGCACAGGGGATCGTGTCAATGGTATCGTAATAGCGTCCTATGGGGACAGATGGGAGCTGCAAGGGAGCGTAGCATGTTGTATATATTTGTGGAATCACCATGTTGTACACCTGAAACTAATGTAATATTGTATGTCAACTGTACTCAAATCCAAAATAAATATATTTTTAAAAATTATCAAGAATAGCAGCCAAAAGAAGCTGATAGGTAGTGGGATTCTGGGAGCTCCTATGTGTTTGAAGGTTTGACTTCAACGATGCCCAACTGGAAGGGGTGCGGGGCGGGGGGGAGAGAGGCTGAAGGTGTTTGGAAGACGGTCTGTCCAGAGGAGACAGCAGGATGGCCTGGAGGGCAGGGGAGGCCTTAAGCCTGGAAAAAAAGGGATGCACCTCTTCCTTTGTGAGCAGGAGAAAGCGGCAGCGAGGGGCGAGGGGCGAGGGGCGGGGCGGGGCCCCACGCGCAGCGGGACCCAGGCCGCCCGCAACTCACCTGGATTCAACTCCTCACGTCTTCCCTTCTGAAGTCGTGTGCCCTTAAAACATACTTGGGCCACACAGGTCTCATTGTACGCTCTTCTCCTGAAACCGCTTCCGTAGTTCTGTCACTGTTGTCCCAGAATCTAAACTCCCAAGCCGGCGTGTGAAGCCCACTCTACTTCTCACCACTCCTGCCCCCACTCCCACTCCCGGTGCTCACAGTGTGGTCCCTGGCCAGGAACGGGAGGACCACCTGGGAACTTGTTAAAAATGCAAAAGCTCAGGGGGGCTCCTGGGTGGTTCTGCCGGTTAAGCATCCGCCTCTTGGTTGGGCTCAGGCTGTGAGCTCAGCGCAGAGTGGCCGAGTCAGCTTGAGATTCTCCCTCCCCCTCCCCCTGCCCCTCCTCCCACCACACTCCCAAGGGCGCTTGAGCGCACTCTCTCTCTGAAATAAACAAATAAATCTTAAAAAAAAAGAAATGCAAAAGCTCATGCCCTGCTCCGGATTTAATAAATCCGAAATGCTGGTAAAGAGGCCTGGCAATCTGCATTTCACCAAGGCTTCTCGGGGATTCTGACGCATGCTCCGGTGTGAGAAGCAGGGGCCTAGTCTTACTGAACCACACTGGCAGCTCCCGGACCACACCGCGCTGGCCACCTCTGCCAAGAAGGCGCCTCTCCCCCCAGCTCCACTCCCATTTCGCCGGGTCCTCCGCCTCTCCCCCAGCCCACGGTGACTGCCTCCCTCCCTGCGCTCCCAGGGAAGCGGTGAGCACTTCCATCATTCAGCCTTGCTGCAGCTCCGAGTTTCTGTGTCTGCCTCCCCCAGAGCCAGCGAGCTCCCCTCCCCGGCGCGGGGGGCGGGGGGGGGGGGGAGAGTGGCGACTGTGTTTGTCCTGCCACAGTCCTGGGGCTCAGAAGCTGTTTTTTACTTGAAATGCTCATGAAAAGCAAAGTACAGGGAGGGGAGCGAAGAAGAGGGAGCGAGCATGCGGGAGAGAGACAACCACGAAATGCTAACCGCGGCTGTTTGCCCCATCCGCCTGTGGGCCGGTCCCGCGCCGAGTGCCTCGCTGAAACTGTCATGTAGTCCTCCAACGCGCTGGCGGCGCTGCTGAGCCACTCGGCAGAGATGGAAACAGGCACAGGGAGGTTACATAGTTGCCCTCGGCTGCTACGCGGCAGGAGGCTATACTGTCGACCCCACGGGCTGAGAGGGGAGGGAGCTTTCTTCGGAGCCCTTATCAATACTCACTAGCTCCGCAAACGTTTCCGGGACGCCTGCTCTGTCTGTGCCAAGCTGAGCCGACCAAGAGGAACGCAGAGAAGGGCACGTGCACGCAGTTGCTTACACGGCAGCCCTGGAGGAGCCCCCAGGCTAGAGAGATCTGTAAACCAGTGAGCACGACTCAGCGAAGGACAATTACTGAGGAATGTCCAAAGAGCTGCTTAGACCCCGCAGCAGGCAGCATTGTTCTGCCACAGGTTCCCACAGAAAATTCCAGAGGTAGGTAGTCAGGGCTGTGGCGATTCCGCTCCACGGCACCCTCCAGCTTGCTGCTCCTCCTGCCCTGGGGTGTGCCCCTCACCTTCCTGGTCCAAAATGGAAGCCATCACACCTTTGTTCCAGGCTGCAGGATGGAAAAGGGGGCAACAGAAAAGGAGTAAAGGACATGTTCTAGATCCCTCCTGCAAAAATTCTTGGAAACTCTCTCATGATTCTGTGCTTACATTCCAGCATCCAGAACTTTGTCACCTGGCCCTATTGGACGGCAAGAAAGACCATACTGTATTAGCAATTGTCATGATTTTAATCAGGAAGAAGGAGAGAACACATTGGGGGGCAGACTGTAGTCTCTCCTGCAGGATGCATGGTGGCGGGTGTCCTAGGAAGACACGGGGACGGCTGGGAACCAGGTGGGAAGAACTTGGTGTGGCATGACCAGTAGTTTGGAAGCTGTCGTCCTGGCAATGAGAACAGTCAGGTAGGTTTAAGCGAGAGACAGATGGAAACTGAGCGATGTTTCCCAGGGATCTCCCTGACAGCTGTGCAGACAGGTTCTGGTGGGGTGCTGCTGTGACCCTGAGACCAGTTAGAAGGCAGTTCCCCAGTGCGGGTGAGAGGCAATGTGGGCCTGGAGCAGGGCAGTAACAGTGGGGTGAAGACGAGAGAATGGAGAACAGGAAATGGGGGGGGGCGGGAGAGGATGGATCTTGGTGGCAATTAGGAAATGAGGGTGAAGGACGGGGATGGAATTGAGGATGACACTGAGGTTCTCAACTTGAGCAATGTGATAAATGACAATGTGGCTGAAGGTGAAGGAGGCTGCCGTCAGTGGCAGGGAGAATTGATCAGTTTGATTTGGGATATGCTGAGTTTAAGGCGCCTGTTGGGTGCAAGATGTTCAGCAAGCTGACAAAAATACATGTCTGGAGCTCTGGAAAGAAGTCAGGGATAAAAGTACCAACTCAGGAGTGGGTGGGTCCAAGTGAAGCTGCAGACACGGTTTGGGATGGCTTGACCAAAAAAGAATAAGGGAACAGAGTCAAGGATGAAGATTAGGGAGCGCCAAAGTTGTGTGCATTCTCTGCAAAGTCCATTCTGATGGAAGGTTCTTTGGAAATAGAAGCTCAAGAAATCTCAGGTTGCATCCTTTTCCCAGATATCCAGGACCTGGGTCAAACTCTCCATTTCAAGATAAGGTGAAACCACTAAAAGCTTTTGCTTTCCCTGGTTGAAATACTTGAACACCAGCTAATGTTAGGTTTGGGGGGGAAAAGTCATATTTAAGGTTGAGGTTTCCATTTCTACTCTGTAATACAGCAGAGCCTGTGCCCAGAAAACCTCCTGCCTCCCTCACCGTCCAGGGAGCTGTCTTTTCATTATGCTGCCAGGCCTCGGGACTGGGCAATGCCAGCAGGTTGAGATCCGTGTGGTAAGGGATGGCAGATCAGGGGAGCCCTCTCCTACAAACAGCTTTCAACTTCTGGGTGATTTAATGCCCTTTTTGATTGCTTTCAAGAAATGAGATGACTGTTGGTCCTAGTATCTGCTTCAATTCTAGAAAGGGTTAAAAAAAATGTATATAGGGGCGCCTGGGTGGCTCAGTCGTTAAGCATCTGCCTTCGGCTCAGGTCATGATCCCAGGGTCCTGGGATCGAGTCCCACATCAGGCTCCCTGCTCGGCGGGAGGCCTGCTTCTCCCTCTCCCACTCCCCCTGCTTGTGTTCCCTCTCTCGCTGTGTCTCTCTCTGTCAAATAAATAAATAAAATCTTTAAGAAAAAAAAAATGTATATAGCATCCCTTTCATTTTAATTGATTTCTTAAAAAAGATTTTATTTATTTATTTGAGAGAGAGAGAGAGAAAGCATGAGTGGGGGGGTGGGCAGAGGGAGAAGGAAAGGGACAAGCAGACTCCTCGATGAACTTGGAGCCTCCGTGGGGGCTCAATCCCAGGATCATGAGATCATGACCTGAGCCAAAGTCAGATGCTTAACAGACTACTGAGCCACCCAGGTGCTCCTTAATTGATTCTTTTTGTCCTTGCCCTTCTCCACTGCTTCTGATCCTTGACCCCCTCCCCTCCCCACCAACATCTGCTGCCCCTGCCCCTTCTCATTTTAAGCAGTTGGCTAGTATAACCCACTTTCAAAGCACTGATTTCTTGAAATGCAATGATTATAATTTGGGAAACACTTTCAGCCAAAGACTATGATATCAAAATGCTCAGTTCTTTGGGTGGTCACTAGCAAAGTGTCTTCAACTGATGAGAATCCAAGTAAAAGGGCCTTCAATTATCTAGAAAGCACTTAAAGTCCAAACCCAACAGGAACAACAAAAGCAATCTAAAATTAAAATAAATGGTGGTTTTCATTTTTCCCTTCCTACTATCTTTTTCTTTTTTTAACATATACTGTATTATTTGTTTCAGAGGTACAGATCTGGGATTCAACAGTCTTACACAATTCACAGGGCTCACCATAGCACATACCCTCCCCAATGTCTATCACCCAGCCACCCCATGCCTCCCACCCCCCACCACTCCAGCAACCCTCAGTTTGTTTCCTGAGATTAAGAATTCCTCATATCAGTGAGATCATATGGTACATGTCTTTCTCTGATTGACTTATTTCGCTCAGCATAATACCCTCTAGTTCCATCCACGTCGTTGCAAATGGCAAGATTTCAGGTTTTTGATGGCTGCATAATATTCCATTGTGTATATATACCACATCTTCTTTATCCATTCATCTGTTGATGGACATCTTCACTCTTTCCATAGTTTGGCTATTGTGGACATTGCTGCTGTAAACATTGGGGTGCATGTGCCCCTTCGGATGGCTACATTTCAACATTTAACATAAACAAGATAGGCATACATTAAATATTTAATTTCAAGATGATTGACCAAAAAATAATCAAGGTGATTGATCAAGTAGAGTTAAATGTAGATATAGACGTAGATGTGAGTATGGTTATCTAGTATAGATATAGCAGGGGTTTAAGATGCTTGGTTGTAGTGATGGCAAAAGTCAATTTTTACTCAATTTCTTACTTTATTTAGTACTTGTCTGCCCATTAACTAATGTCTACCGCATATTAATAAATTTTTAATTTGAGATCATAAAATAAATAAATAAGATAAAATAAATGGTGGTTCAAAACCACAATGAGATACCACCTCACACCCATCAGAATGGCTAAAATTAACAAGTCAGGAAATGACAGATGTTGGCGGGGATGCGGAGAAAGGGGAACCCTCCTACACTGTTGGTGGGAATGCAAGCTGGTGCAGCCACTCTGGTAAACAGTGTGGAAGTTCCTCAAAAAGTAGAAAATGGAGCTACCTTACAACCCAGCAATTGCACTACTAGGTATTTACCCCACAGATACAAATGTAGGGATCCAAAGGGGTACGTGCACCCCAATGTTTACAGCAGCAATGTCCACAATAGCCAAACTATGGAAAGAGCCCAGATGTCCACTGGCAGATAAATGGATAAAGAAGATGTGGTATTATATACAATGGAATAGTACTCAGCCCTCAGAAAATGAAATCTTACCATTTGCACTGACGTGAATGGAACTAGAGGGTATTATGCTAAGCGAAGTAAGTCAATCAGAAAAAGACATTATCATATGATTTCACTCATTTGTGGAATTTAAGAAACAAAACAGAGGATCATAGGGGAAGGGAGGGAAAAATGGAACAAGATGAAACCAGAGAGGGAGACAAACCATAAGAGACTCTTAACTCTAGGAAACAAACTGAGGGTCGCTGGAGGGGAGATGGGTGAGGGGATGAGGTAACTGGGTGATGGGCATTAAGGAGGGCATGTGATGTAATGAGCACTGGGTGTTATATGCAACTGATGAGTCACTGATCTCTGAAATTAAAAATACACTATATGTTAATTAACTGAATTTAAATAAAATTTCAAAAATAATAAAATAAATGATGGTATACTTGTCTAAGTTGGAAAGTTTGGGTACAGGATTAGTGTAGGATCCTAGGATTAGTATAAATTAGGAATTAGTATAAATTCAGCCAAATGTCTACTATATCTCACCTCAGTATATTTGGCATGTTCACTGATATTCAACATGATGGCCCGAAAATAGTGTAAGAAAACCTCCTATCAAATAAAGACTCATTTATGGTCCTCATGCTCTAGTGGCTAAGACACGAAAATAGGCAAAATGCAAGCTGCTAACATTTTCACTTTGGAAACATGAAAAATTAAGGAAAATATGGTAAAATGTTTTATAAAGTGAAGTTTATTTTTTAAGACAGTCCTTTATTCTGAGATCATGTCCTTTTTATGTCAGGGTCTCCTGTCTCATAGAAACAGTAGTGACAGCAGATGACAGGTTCTTTTTGAATGACCTTACCTGGCAAAATTAAAACCTGGCCCACCTTCACTGTCCCTAAATTTAATTTGGAATTTTATTTGTTGGTGAAATGTCAAAGTCTGGGAATCCCTGGAGTTCTATTAGGCCTTTCCCACAGGCTTGGAAGCAAATGAGATTTTCTGTGGATTCCCTGAGATTTGGGGATTGGAGGTTGGGCGGGGGGGTCTGGTTCTCTGTCCTCTCTCACCCTGTGCTGATTATGTTGGCTGGTGCTGAAACAGGTGCTCAATAAACAATTTATTGGAAATGGTTGATCACCAGGGAATGGAAAGCTTAAATAGGGCTCTTTTGTTTGTTTCCTCCACTGATTACCAAAATGTTAAACATTTTAATTATTTTTAAAGTTGTGGTTTTTAAAATATATGTATTTTTAATAAATCAGTTATATATACAAAAGTCAAAGCAGACCACCCTTGCAAAGCAGCTTCAAAAGGGAGCCTTGCGCGGGTTTGCACACATCTGCTCCTCAAA